ATAAATTAAAAAAATTGGCCGCCAAGGTGCTTTGAGCCGGGTCCTTTTTTTAATTTAATTTAATTTAATAAATAGTACAGCAACACGGCTATACAAGGGGTCTTTTTTTTCTTCATTTTTTTAAAAATAAATAGTATGGCCGCACGGCTATACGGTTAAATGTAATATCTTTAAAGAGTATTGCCGCTCGGTTATATTGGTGTCCCTTTTTTTTAATAAATTTTTTTCCCTTATTTTCGTTTAGAGCATTATCCATTACTATTAGGTCATTACTCGAGTCTCTATGGTCCCTTTTTGATTTTTTACATTTTTCGAGTTATTACCCGTATAAAGAATTTTTAGAGCTAAACCCTAAATTTACTAAGAATGGAGCATTTTCCCGTTTAATACTTGTCTTATACACGTATGTATGTGTCTTTCAATAATACTTCCGTTTTTCGTACACATCTTAAAGACTCGGTAAAATACACATGTAGCACTCGAGAGAATGAGGTAGATCCAAGGCAGATGTTCGCACGAAAAAAAGAAAAAGAAAAAAGAAGAAGAAATAATTGAACTCTCATATTGATTTACAGTGAAATTTCCATTTTTTCAATATCTACTTTGGATATATTGAAACTAGCAAATTAATAACTATAAAGTATAAACTAATGGAAGTAGGCCACGGAATTTTAAAATTTCTAGGGCACCCTTCTTTGCAAACTCACCAACTAGAAAGCTTATGTTTTGCTTCCAGCGTAACCTCTCTCTGTTAACTGTCTTTCCCGAGCAGAAGGGTACTTGCAATACAATTATAATGGGAATTCAAATCATGTCATTCTCTTATGAGAAATTCATCCTATTTATTTGTCCTTGAAACTTTAGTAATTTGCCTCCCCACTATTCAACTTTAGTATTGATAGCTTACTAATTGTCTTCGCAGCTACTCAACTTAAACTATATACTGTAGGGTTTCTACTTTCTAATCAAGTTTCCAATGCTGCTAATTAATTGTGAGATTTTTTAAGGTGAGAGACAGTTACAGAAAACTTTATCAAATTAATACAATTATCTTCTAATTAGAGTCAAACTCTCCATATACAGTGCAGACTAAAAGAAACACACCCCTCACTGATTCATCAGGTGTACTCAAGGTGAGCAGCCCTGGAATTCTTGTCTTTGTTGACCATAAGAACACTATCAATCTATTGGTAGTCTTTAATGAAAATGTCTTGTTCCTGTTAGTTGGAAAGAGTCAATTTCCCCTCTCATTCTCTCTGAGTTTCTAATTTTTTTTGTTTGGCTTGGTTCCTGGCATTACATGGTAGTCTTTAACCCACCAATGAATTCTCCAGGTGTGGCTGCATCAAGGATGAAGCCTCCCCAAAAGAAAGATTTTTTTTTTTTTTTTTTTTTTTTTTTTTTTTTTTTTTTTTTTTTTTTTTTTTTTTTTTTTTTTTTTTTTTTTTTTTTTTTTTTTTTTTTTTTTTTTTTTTTTTTTTTTTTTTTTTTTTTTTTTTTTTTTTTTTTTTTTTTTTTTTTTTTTTTTTTTTTTTTTTTTTTTTTTTTTTTTTTTTTTTTTTTTTTTTTTTTTTTTTTTTTTTTTTTTTTTTTTTTTTTTTTTTTTTTTTTTTTTTTTTTTTTTTTTTTTTTTTTTTTTTTTTTTTTTTTTTTTTTTTTTTTTTTTTTTTTTTTTTTTTTTTTTGGGGGGGGGTTGGGGGATTGGTGGGTAAAAAAAAAAAAAAAAAAAAAAAAAAAAAAAATGGGACTGAATACTAGACGGTTAGAAAACAGACATATTCATAGTTTCTGTAGGTACATATTAGCCAACTGTTACAACCAGCACAGTGATATGGACACCTCTATGTCTGTTTCTCTAACGGCATATTATAGCCATTATTAGACACAAATTGTTAAGAGATCAGATTAAAATATTTGTCACCTTTTGAATCCTTCAAAATTGGAGATGTTTGTTGCTGAATAATCTTTGCTATCCTTCAAAAACCTGGTTATTGGCAAGACCATAGAAACTCCATGATAGGATAGCTTCATCATTTCCTTCCACTGAAGACAGACACCAAGTCAGCAAATTTTGTGTTGTTTTCTTCTGCGCCATGCCGTCAATGGAAAGAGAGAAGAGAATAAGGCGGAGTTGGCAGAGGGAGGAATTGTCGTAGTTGTCGCAGGTGTGGTGAGGTGAAAATGTGGTTTGGGAGAGAGCCTAGAGAGAAGAGAATAAGGCGGGAAACAGGGAGAGGAATGGAAATAGATGAATTAAGAGTCTCATGATCTCTTCTTCTATGGACCTGACTTGTGCTTGCTTCGGCTTCCCAATCTCAATCTCAAGCTCAAATTTGCAGCTAAACTTCTTCAATTTCGGGTTTCAGACTTTCAGTCAATCGCAGTGTTCGGAAAATCGGCCTAGGCGGGCGCCTAGGTGGCTAGGCGGGTGCTAGGCGGCTAGGCGGGAGCTAGGCGGGCGCTAGGCGGCTAGGCGGGAGCTAGGCGGCCGGGCGGGAGCTAGGCGGCTGGGCGGGCCTCCTAGGCGGGTTGGGTCTTTTTTTGGTGTCGAACCAGGAGGACGAAGCAGTCGAAACTGAAAATCGAAGCGAAATGGCTGTGACTGGGTCTGCAACCTCCGCCCTCTGCGAGTGCAAGCTTCGTGTTCGTTTGGATTATATTGAAAGAGTATAGCCGCGCGGCTATAATCTTAAAATATTCGAATATATTAATATTTAAACAGTTAAAATATCGGAATGTATTTATTTGCATTCAATTATGCATCTAAATTTGGTATGACGTGCATCGATATTGTCGATAATGCATCAGTAACGTGTTTACATTTATAAGATATTCCAATATAAATGGGCAAGATATTTACATAAGAATGGCTTCATCAGAACTAGGTATGGAATCATCTTGCTGTTTAAAACAAAGTTTGAAAGAAAAATAAAAGCCACCAAGGAAAAAAGAAGAAAGAAATCTTCCAGCAGTGACATGATTAGAAACAAGATAGAGCCAGAAAACTTTTGACATTATTAGAAAAATATTTCTTTAGAATTGTCTCAGAAACTAGCATATATTGTTCATTGGATGATAAAAAGTAAAGGTTTTTATTTTTTATTTTCTTGAATTTCTGACTCCTCAATCTTCTGCTTTCAAATACTTCATTCCTAGATCAAGGACACAATACAAAGATCAAAATTACCAGTACTGTGTTGTCTACTGGACCACCAATTTTATTAAACTTAAAAATAACACCTGCATAATCTTTGCTATCCTTCAAAATTGAAGGGTCATTGCCTCAACCTCAAAAACCTGGTTATTGGCAAGACCATAGAAACTCCATGATAGGATAGCTTCATCATTTCCTTCAACTGAAGACAGACACCAAGTCAGCAAATTTTGTGTTGTTTTCTTCTGGGCCATGCCGTCAATGCGAAGAGAGAAGAGAATAAGGCAAAGTTGGTAGAGGGAGGAATTGTCGTTGGTGTGATGAGGTGAACATGTCGTTTGGGAGAGCCTATAGGGAGATGAATGGAAATAGATGAATTAAGAGTCTCATGATCTCTTCTTCTATGCACCTGACTTGTGCTTGCTTCGGCTTCCCAATCTCAATCTCAAGCTCAAATTTGCAGCTAAACTTCTTCAATTTCGGGTTTCAGACTTTCAGTCAATCGCAGTGTTCGGAAAATCGGCCTAGGCGAGCGGCTAGGCGGCTAGGCGGGTGCTAGGCGGCTGGGCGGGCCTCCTAGGCGGGTTGGGTCTTTTTTCGGTGTTGAACCTGAAGGACGAAGCAGTCGAAACTGAAAATCGAAGCTTGAGTTGATAGAGAAGCGAAATGGATGTGCCTGTGACTGGGTCTGCAACCTCCGTCCTCTGCGAGTGCAACCTTCGTGTTCGTTTGGAAATATTCCAGTATATTAGTATTTTAAGAGTATAGCCGGACGGCTATACTTTTAAAATATCCGAATGTATTTAGAAAGTACAGCCGTACGGCTATAAATTTTTAAATATACAATTTTGTCATATCATTTTAGGGTTTAGGGTGGACTAGATTTATTTCTTCAATTATTTTATTTATACAAGCGATATTGGGGAATGAGAATTTAAATTCTTACTGATACCTCCCATTCTAATGATTTCCAGCTATTAGCCTATTGGGCAAGATTAAAAAATGAATTTTATTTCTAACAAATAATACAGGTTAAACCCATAAATACCAAAAATAACAATAATAATAATAATAATAATAATAATAATATAATAATAAAAGGTACCGCCAACATTTTGTGGATCAAAGAATTTTGAATTTCATAGTATAAAATTGCTTGTATAGCAATTTACTTTCTAAAATGTATCTGTTGTAATTATGAACTAAACCCAATTACAACCTTTTTTCTCATTGCACTTGACGACCATGCTCTTCTGCTATGAGATATGTCAGTTCGTGCTGTATTCTATGTAGATGAAAAATTGGATATAAAACAATCTAACGAGACAACGAAGGGAAGTTTGCAACTTTATTTTGAAATTAATTGAAGGTATCATAGGTCATATGACATTGATATATGAACTATTCTAAATTAGAATTCAAACAACATGTGTTATATGAGAAGTAGCATCTCATTCTTAAATATAACATATTATTTCATTTTTCTACTGGTTGTGCATGTTGTTAAGCTTGTGCAACCAACATTCTTTCACCAAGAAATTTTGCTAGGAAAACCTTTGGTGGAAAGGGAAAGTTAAGATAGAAATAGAGGCAGAGGCAAGGCTGAAGAACAATCACAAGCACATGTGATATTACAGAAAATGTAGCGAAGGAATTTAGAATGGCCATTTTCCAAATTAAGCATACATCTTATTATGAAATCAAGATAGGAACTTATAACAAGCGCTCATTATAGTAACATTGTCCAAAAACACACGATGAACACCACACACAACACACATAATTGCTCATTAGTGTTGTAAATATAAAAAAGATGAGATATCGCTTACTACAATCAAATAGTTCTTCATTCCTCGTCGCCCAAATCATTGAACGCATCGCGCAAATCATTGAGCATTTCATCCCACGTCTCCTCCACATGTAGATGAAATGAGTATCCATCAACAGGAAGAACAAAATTGTCCATACCACAAAGAAATTCAGGAAATTCAGAACCCTCGCACATAAATTTACTAATATGAGACGCAAGCTTTGATATTTCATCGTCATTCTCATCGAAATCAGAACAATCTCTGGCGTCCAACATCACCAGATCTTTGCATCTGCGCAGCAACATGACAAGACCATCCCGATTGACTTTTGCACCCTTCAAATTTAAGTACTTGATATTAGGCATCTCATTGTTTACTGTTGAAAATATGTTTGATCCAGCAGTTGAGGTTGGTGGTGGATTCTTCTGATAATGCGAGATTTTCTTCATTCCCTTGGTGGTTATATTATGTTATATAATTTGTTTATGTTGAAAAATAACCGTTGTGGTATGTCCTTGTTTCGTTTTTTATAAATAAAAATAAAAGGTAATGATTATTTGTTTATGTTTTTCAATTAAATAATGAAAAGGAAGAGGGAGATGTGAAACAAAAATGAACAAAAGAGATGCAGGAAAATTAGAAAAGATAAAAGGTCCTTTTGTCTTACATGTTTTTATTAAACAGTATAGCCGTGCGGCTATACCCATTAATTATAATGTATTATAGCCAGTCGGCTATACTTATTTTGACACATGGGCGTTAATCGCAAGGCGGGTCCTTTTTAATAGACTTGGTCTTATTAATGTTTCTTAAAAACGGTATAGCCGTGCGGCTATATTTATTTTAAACAACTTCTGAGTATAGTCTTGCTGACATACTCCATTTTTTATTTATAAAGAGTAGAGCCGCACGGCTATACGTGGTTTTATTTTTAATTAATATTTCTTTGGAAAGGTATCGCCGAGCGGCTATATTTATATATTTATTTTATAATTCGTATAGCCAGGCGGCCATACTCGGGTTTTTGAGCAGCTATACTCGGTTCTGATCATGTTTCTTTAAGAATAGTATAGGCGGGCGACTATACTTCTGTCCTGTTTACGATGCTCCAAAAACGTCAGCATGCACTCCTCGACTATACTATCATAAGAAAAAATATTGAACTAGAGAAGAAGTTCCCGATGATTATCTTGCGGCTTTAAACTTGAAACAACCCAAAGTTTATTTTGATTTGCCTCCACAGTCAAAACAGACAGCTTATCTGTTTTGAGCACAAGAAGAAGAAGAGAAGGGAAGTCAAACCCAAACACTGTCTGCTGCTGTCAATATTGATCGCCAATCATTATTCGTCATCTTCAGCTCAATTAAGCCTGTCTTTTACATCCCCATCACAAATATGAATAATATAGTCATCTTTCATTCGCATTGGTCTCTTCTGTGTATCTTTGTTCTTCTCTTTCCACACTGTATCAAAACCCAAGTAAAAGAAAGCCTGAGTCTCCAGAGCATAATCAAGTACAACATGGAAGCAGAAGCAGATGTTATGATTGTGGGAGCTGGAATTTCTGGCCTTGCAACATCCTTAGGACTTCACAGGTTCTCTTTCTCTCTCTCATGGTTCATATATTACTATGGTTGGAAGCAAAATTGAAATTTCTGGGTGCAGGCTGGGGATTGGAAGCTTCGTGTTGGAATCATCTGATAGTTTGAGGACAACAGGGTTTGCATTCGCAAGATGGATAAATGCATGGAAGGCCTTAAATGCCCTTGGTCTTGCCAATTCTCTTCGCCAACATCATGTCACACTTGATGGGTATTTTCTTTCCATGCACCACTCTCTGTTGCCCCTTCAACTATCCTAACATGTTATATTCTCAGACTGCCAATCTCGACCATTAGTTACGCAAATACAATCTCGACCGTTAGTTATGCAAATACAATCCTAACATGTTTGTTGGTACTTACTAAGTTCTACTTTTGCACGCACGAAACTGATTGCAGAGATTTGAATGTACAGGAATGTGACTTCCTCAAGAATTACAGGGCTTCAAACGTTTGAGATGTCATTTAAGGCCAAAGGAAAACAGTAAGTTTATCAATAGTATAAGTGCTACAAGTATTTCTTACTGATGCTTAATATTGGATTTCAATTGTTTGCTAGATTCTATCACTTTGCTTCTATTTCATTGATTTTGTTAGTATCAATATTCAAGCATGCTCAAATGATTGAGAGAGTCTAAATGATGTGCAGCGGAGACCATGGAGTTCGATGCGTGAAAAGGAACTTGTAGTTGGAAGGCCTTGCAAATGAACTCCCTAGTGGCACCATCAGGTTCTCATCGAAGGTGGTTTCCGTTGACGAATCGGGCTACTTTAAGCTGGTGCATCTGGCAGACGGGACCATCCTCAAAGTCAAGTCATTATCAGAAGGCCAAGATGCACTCGCTCCTGCAACTTATCCCACATCGCTCGGTTGATATAAAAAACTACACTTTATAAGCCTAACACGAGGAAGTTGTAACGCCGAGCTTCGCAACGTGAGCTTGTAACCCAAGTGGGGGCTTTGAGGTGCTGGAACATTGGCCTAGTATTAGCTGGTCGGGTTCGGGTTGGCTATCTTCTGGCCCGCCCATTCCAAGCCAGGAGTTGAACCTTGTGGCTTGAGCGAAGGCTCTGGGTCACTGGGTTTCTAGAGAGGAGGGCACTGCGTAAGGCTGGCTTCACAGAGCAACGTCTACCTCCCTCTCTTGGCAGTGGAAGGATAACAGGTTGGTGCCACTTGGATCCGCCATGGCCTGCTAGACTGTCCCAATTGAACCAAAACCTTTTTGCTCACTTTTTGTGAGTCTGATTATCTTATGTGGTTGGTTTCTTACAAGAGAGTAATGGAAAAATTATGAACTTCTTCGGGGACAAATGTTTATCTCTAATCCTGGCTGGTTGTTGTTGAAGAAGGCAGATTTTGATTGTGGGAAGCTCAGCATCTCTTAAATGCAATGATACTTCCTCTGCATATATAATAGTAATTTGCATGTAACCTTATATGTCAATCATATTAGTGATAACAGTAGAAGAATACTGAGAAAAAGAAGAAGGAAGAAGAAGTCTGAGAATAGAAGGCTCTGTATTGATTATTGTTGAAAATGATTACAATGTAATAGTGCTTATAAAGCAAACTAACAGACTCTCTTAACAAGCTAACAAACTCTCTTAACAATCTAACATACTTTCTTAACAACCTGACACGTGTCATTCAATATGGTTATATGGTTATCATTCCCCCTCAAACCCAGCTGAGCTGCTAAGTTGCAGATTCCTGCAATGTCTCAGAAAAATAGGACCATGTAATTCCTTTGTGAAGATGTCTGCTACTTGTTCTTCAGTGGGAATATACTGCATAATCAAGTCTTTCTTCTGTACTCTTTCTCTTACAAAATGAAAGTCAATATCTAAATGTTTGATCCGAGAATGATACACAGGAGTTGAACTTAAAGCAAGGGCTGAAAGATTGTCACAATGTATTGTAGGAGGCTGTGGTAAGAACACCTTTAAATCAAGTAAAACCTGTCGAACCCAAGCTAGATCAGCTGTTGTATTAGCTAATGCCCTGTACTCAGCCTCAGTTGAACTTCTAGAAACAGAATTTTGCTTCTTAGACTGCCAAGAAACTGGATTGTTGCCAAGATAAACCACAAAAACAGTAGTTGATCTACGAGTATTCACATCTGAAGCCCAATCTGCATCACTATAAGCATGAAGATCCCAAGATCCACTTGTAAAAGTCAGACCATGATCCAAAGTACCATGAATATATCTCAGGATGCGCTTAACCAACTGAAAATGTAAATATGAAGGTTGAGTCATATACTGACAGACAGTATTAACAGCATAACAAAGATCAGGTCTAGTGAATGTTAAATACTGCAGTGCCCCAGCAATACTCCTGTAGATGGTTGGATCAGATAAGGAGTCACCCTCCGAAGCCAAAAGCTGACAATGTGGCTTACATGGAGTAGTACAAGGTCGACATGTATCCATACCAGCCTTTGCAAGTAATTCTCTAGCATATTTTGTTTGACATACAAAGATATCTCCATTATCATGATAAGAAATCTGCAATCCTAAGAAGTAGGTTAACCGCCCCATATCTTTCATTTCAAACACAGCACTTAACTCATCAATAACCTCTTGGACTAAACTATCTTTAGAACCAGTCAAGATGATATCATCAACATAGAGTAAAAGAATGACACTATCTAAACCAACACGCTTAACACAGAGGCTTGGATCAGAATGAGAAACAGTAAAACCAAGGGCTGGAAGATGACCTGTGAACTTTGCATTCCAAGCTCTAGGTGCTTGCTTTAGTCCATAAAGAGATTTTCTCAATCGACAAACATGGGTTGGATATGCAGAGTCTTCAAAACCTTGAGGTTGGCGCATACACTTCTTCTTCATTGATGTTTCTGTCTTCAAGATCACCATGAAGACAGAAACATCAATGAAGCTTTTGAGAGCACTTAATTAACTTGTTATATGTAAATATGTAAAACAGCAGCCATGACAAAACAGCGCATTCAGAACATCAACATAGGATGCAAAAGCGATCCCACTAGAAGATTTAAGTTAACCAAAAAACCACACATATTCTCAAGCAACATTTTTCTGATCAATCTCTAATACCAAACAATATATTAACTCTAATTCAAATCACAACATGAGTTGTTGAAATCATGATAGAATACACATATGTAACATCTTAAAAGGAGAAGTTACCCACTTCCAAGGAGCATCTCGAGCAGGAAGATTCGAAGGCTTTAGACTGAACTAGGCAAAATATTCACGAGATCTCTTTCTTTGAATTCTGCTAACCAAGAGGAGCCTTTGGTTCTGACGAAGATATAAGAGCAACCAATTGCACTACTAAGAGTATATCAAAAAGCAAAAACTTTCACTATCTAGCATGTACTCAATCATCCATATATACAAGGGGAGAATGGAGATGATGTGGCTCATAGAATCAAAGCACGATAGGTAAAATGGAGGGTTTTGTTAAGCATATATATAGTGATCATCATATTTTGCTAGAATTGAAAGCTAAGTTTATAGAACATCTGTTAGACCAGCCATGCTATATGGGACTGAATACTAGACGGTTAGAAAACAGACATATTCATAGTTCTGTAGGTACATATTAGCCAACTGTTACAACCAGCACAGTGATATGGACACCTCTATGTCTGTTTCTCTAACAGCATATTATAGCCATTATTAGACACAAATTGTTAAGAGATCAGATTAAATATTTGTCACCTTTTGAATCCTTCAAAATTGGAGATGTTTGTTGCTGAATAATCTTTGCTATCCTTCAAAAACCTGGTTATTGGCAAGACCATAGAAACTCCATGATAGGATAGCTTCATCATTTCCTTCCACTGAAGACAGACACCAAGTCAGCAAATTTTGTGTTGTTTTCTGCTGCGCCATGCCGTCAATGGAAAGAGAGAAGAGAATAAGGCGGAGTTGGCAGAGGGAGGAATTGTCGTAGTTGTCGTTGGTGTGGTGAGGTGAACATGTGGTTTGGGAGAGAGCCTAGAGAGAAGAGAATAAGGCGGGAAACAGGGAGATGAATGGAAATAGATGAATTAAGAGTCTCATGATCTCTTCTTCTATGGACCTGACTGTGCTTGCTTCGGCTTCCCAATCTCAATCTCAAGCTCAAATTTGCAGCTAAACTTCTTCAATTTCGGGTTTCAGACTTTCAGTCAATCGCAATGTTCGGAAAATCGGCCTAGGTTGGCGCCTAGGTGGCTAGGCGGGCGCTAGGCGCTAGGCGGGAGCTAGGCGGCTGGGCGGGAGCTAGGCGGCTGGGCGGGCCTCCTAGGCGGGTTGGGTCTTTTTTGGTGTCGAACCAGGAGGACGAAGCAGTCGAAACTGAAAATCGAAGCGAAATGACTGTGACTGGGTCTGCACCCTCCGCCCTCTGCGAGTGCAAGCTTCGTGTTCGTTTGGATTATATTCAAAGAGTATAGCCGCGCGGCTATAATTTTAAATATTTGAATATTTAAAGAGTATAGCCAACGGCTATACTGTAAAATATCCGAATATTTTAGAAAGTACAGCCGTGCGGCTATAACATTTTAAATATACAATTTTGTCATATCATTTTAGGGTTTAGGGTGGGCTAGAGTTATTTCTTCAATTATTTTATTTATACAAGCGATATTGGGGAATGAGAATTTAAATTCTTTATGATACCTCCCATTATAATGATTTCCAGCTATTAGCCCTTTGGGCAAGAATAAAAATGAATTTTATTTCTAACAAATAATACAAGTTAAACTCATAAATACCAAGAATAATAATAATAATAATAATAAAAGGTATCCGCCAACATTTTGTGGATCAAAGAATTTTGAATTTCATAGTATAAAATTGCTTGTATATCAATTTACTTTCTAAAATGTATCCGTTGTAATTATGAACTAAACCCAATTGCAACATTTTTTTCTCCTTGCACTTGACGACCATGCTCTTTTGCTATCAGATATGTTATTTTAAAAATTGGATATAAAACAATCTAACGAGACAGCGAAGGGAAGTTTGCAGCTCTATTTTGAAATTAATTGAAGGTATCAGAGGTCATATGACATTGATATATGAACTATTCTAAATGAGAATTCAAACAACATGTGTTAGATGAGAAGTAGCATCTCATTCTTAAATATAACATATTATTTCATTTTTTTACTGGTTGTGCCTGTTGTTAAGCTGGTGCAACCAACATTCTTTCACCACGAAATTTTTCCTAAACCTCAAAGAAAATTTTAGCTAGGAAAACCTTTGGTGGGAAGGGAAAGTTAAGATAGAAATAGAGGCAGAGGCAAGGCTGAAGAACAATCGCGCGCGAACACATGTGATATTACAAAAAATGTTGCGAAGGAATTTAGAATGGCCATTTTCCAAATTAAGCATACATCTTATTATGAAATCAAGATAGGAACTTATAACAAGCCCTCATTAGAGTAACATTGTCCAAAAACACACGATGAACACCACACTCAACACACATAATTGCTCATTAGTGTTGTAAATATAAAAAAGATGAGATATCGCTTAGTACAATCAAATTAATAATTCTTCATTCCTCGTCGGCCAAATCATTGAACGCATTGCGCAAATCATTGAGCATTTCATCCCATGTCTCCTCCACATGCAGATGAAATGAGTATCCATCAACATGAAGAACAAAATTGTCCATACCACAAAGACATTCAGGAAATTCATAACCCTCGCACATAAATTGACTAATATGAGACGCAATCTTTGATATTTCATCGTCGTTCTCATCGAAACAGAACAATCTCTGGCATCCAACATCACCAAATCTTTGCATCCACGCATCAACGTGACAAGACCATCCCGATTGACTTTTGCACCCTTCAAATTTAAGTACTTGATATTAGGCATCTGATTCTTACATATATGAGATATATTAGTCCGCGTTGTATTCTACGCAGAAATATAAAGTTACCCATAAGTTGAAGCGCTCAGGATCTTGTAGTGAAGGCATCATCGCTTCCACACTGAGAAGTCTCTCAAGTCCTCTTCGATCTGTAAAGAGATACTATCATACATCAAAAGCTCAGCTCGGTCATCGAGAGGCATTTTACCTCACAAATAGAAATCCCCCAAGTCCCCAGACGAGAGTTTTGTGTGGGGAGTTGCATCTCTTGGACAACTCCTTCCTAGGACCTTGGTTCCCTTTATCCCCACTTACATTTTGTGAATTTGGTATGCTAGCTGCATGCCAAAACTTGTATATGTTGCTTGTGTTTGTTATACCGAATACCAATTGGATCATGTATACAATTCCATGTGCTTGCCAATCTGAAACTTGACCCATGCATATGCAATGTCTTTGGGTTTCAAAAATAGAAATCCATGAGATTTTGAAGGTGAATATGAATCTGCCAATACTTCATCAACCAACTCCAAACCCCTTCCTTCATTCCATAAGTGCCATGCCTAACAAAATTTCATGTATGTTGGCCAGTATTGTTAAACTCTGCTGCACTTAGCTTCATATAGTTGCTTAAGCTGTATGAAAGATACGATTTTGCATTAAGATTTAGAGTGTGAGCTTACATAAGCTAGGAAGCCTATATGTTGGTCACTGGAATAGAAGTTGGTATTCTTTTTGCCACTAATAATCTCCAATTGCAAGAACCCGAAGCTGTAGCCATCAGATTTTTCAGAAAACATACCGCCCATGGCATACTCCGGAGACATATAGCCACTGCACAATCAATTGAGAACTGATGAAACTACTTCTTTGTTTATAGTCTTGAGAAAAATTATACCAGAAAAGTTAAATCTAAATGCCATGCAATGCAACTAATTTTTAGTTAATTATGAACACAAACAGAAGGGAATTGGATTCGGTTAAAATTGCAAAGTTGTAAATTGAAGTGCTGGTACACCTCGATTTACCAACATGTTAATCCCAATGTTCGAAAAATCACTATACAGTAAGGGGGCGGCAGGCAAAGGCCTAGCGCCTAGAGCCTAGAGGAGTAATGGGGGTCTATGCGAGTGCCTATGCACTTTTTTTTATAAATTATTTAGTATTATAAATTATAAATTTATACCAAAATCATGAAAAATAAAAGGATATATAAATTATATATTAAACAAATAGTATAATATTTCTTTGATTTAAAATATTAAAATATTTATTTGTTATTTGTTACTTATTAGTGGTTACTTTAGTGATTTCATAATGCAAAATCCATTTAATGTTGTATTTTATGAAGCCCAGGCCTTTCTCTCCCGCCAGGCCCCTTTCTAAACCCTAAACGTAACTCGCAACCTCTCTTCTTCTTCAATCCTCATTTCTCTCTCTCTCTCTCTCTCTCTCTCTCTCTCTCGCCTCAGCACCATCGTCATCTCGTCCAAGACCTTGGAGTTCCAAAATGGCCCTTTTTTTTCTTCTAGGCACCAGCACCCGCCTAGACCGCCTAGCCCGCCTAGCCCTCGCCTAGCCCGCCTAGCCCTCGTCTAGCCCCCGCCTAGCTCGCCTAGGCCGCCTAGGCAATTTATTCAACTCCATTAAATGCTTTTTTAAGGTTTATGGTTGTGGTGCACTGAGTGATTCAACTGAATAATGCCTGGGGCATGGTCAGATAGTCCATTTCCTCTGTCGATTGTAATGACGGTATGCACAACTCTTGGGGCAGTAGCCCTGCCTCCTCTACTAACAAAGATATTGGCAGGGACTTACATCCCTGTGGATGCTGCCAAACTGTCAATCAGCACCATGCAGGTTAAGTTAAATATAATAAACTTCAGTAATATTATATTATCCATCAGCTGGGGCTTATGGTCTCTATTCTGTCATATGTAGGTCGTTGTTGCTCCAATTTGTTAGGTTCTTATATGCATAGTGCATTTCCTGCAGTGGTTAAAATTGTGATACCTTTTGCACCACTTTTTGCTGTTCTAGCTGCATCACTGCTTGCATGCTGGTACATTTGTTGTGCATATAAATATATTTTAATTACTTATATGTAAAATATGATTGTCTTGCCTGTGGTTCCTTCCAAATGTGCTCTCTTTCTCAAACATACTAGATTTCATTTTGTGGGCCAGTGTATTCTCTGAGAATGTTGTCCGTCTCAAAGCTTCAATGGTTGCTGTAACATTGCAGGCTGATCTGTCTCTAATGGCTCATGCTCAGACAGTGTTATCTGGAGAAATTGGGGGTGGTTATTCTTTCTGTGCTGTTAGTACATATTGCTGGTTTCTTTGCGGGGTAAGTTGCCTTTAACTGTTGGTGACTTTAATTGTTAAGTGTGTTGTTGTGGAAAAAGCTCAAGGTAATGTACACAATTTTTTTCAGTATGTAAAGATTCACTCTAATTTAAGCTCAAAAATTCTAAAAAAATTACATTGTAGCCTTGTATTAGTGTATTATTACTGTTTGATTTAGCTTCAGTTGAGTTTGATATATAAATTATAGAGTGAAGTTAACTGTACTTTGAAAAAACAAAGTATTCATAATTTGTAAGCAACAGTTGAGAAACTATAGTTTGCTGTCATTATGACTTCATAGCCATAAAAGCTATTGCAGTAAGAAAGTATATATTCAATCTTCTTTGTCTATGTGGATTTTAATTTGACATATGAAGATAGAAACTAGTCTTGTAGACGAGCATTGTTGGCAGAGTTTGCACTCATACAAATATTCTTTAAGGTTGTGGTGCTGTGCCTGTTTGTTTAGTTTGTTTTGGAGTTTTTGCGGTGCAAATGTGCAACTTGAGGAGTCTTTTTTTATTAGGGAGAGTCTTAATTTGCAGGTATATATAAGAAGTTGTTTGCGGGTTTAGAGAAGCACAAAGACGAGCAATATCAATTGAGGTATTAATCAAATAGAATGTAAACTTTAAGACATGATCTAGCTTTCTGTGAATCCTTGTGTTCCAGTTTTGTTTCGGCTTTGGTCAAATTGGTAATAAAGATATAAAATTCTCTTCTTAAACTTTATTGTAAGTCCATAGAAGATCTTCATTGTTTTATGCTCAGATTGAAATGTCGAAACTTTCATAAATTTTGGTGGGCATGCAACACTAATCCTTCATTCACATGTTCGACACTCGCAGGTTGGTATGGAAAATTCTTCTTTGGGTGTGGTTTTGGCCACTTCTCATTTCACCTCGCCGATGGTTGCATTACCCGCAGCATTATTTGCTGTGATTATGAATATAAATGGGAAGCAGTCTGGCATTCTTTTGGAGATATGTAGATTCTTCTGACTCCAAGGAGACTCCTACAATTGAGGTTAAGTGACAACTAAAGCACCCTTTCGAAGTTTTCCCCAACCCGACAATATTTGCTGTGAGTATGAATAGAATGGGCAGCAGCAGTCTTGGTGTCCTTGGAGATATGTATCCTTTGGGCTCCATTAAGTCTCCTACAGTTGATATTCTTTAAACTTTGTGTATGTTACACATAAGTTTAAATGATCAAGCAAAGAAACGTATGAGTTCAAAATTGTGGCATGCCTACGAAACGAGAATCAGTTCCTAGGGGCTAGGTGAGTCCTCTTTTTCTAAAAAATATTAAATAATATATCTGCGCGGCTATACCTGTAAATATAAAATATTCAAAGAGTATAGCTAGCTGGCTGGCTATACTGGGGCCCCTTATTTATTTATTTATTAATAAATAATATAGCCGATTGGCTACACTCTTTAAATATGTATGTATATATATATATATATATATATGTATTGGGTGCCTTTTTTATATATATATAATTTTTTTTTCCCTTTTTTTCGTTTATCAACAAGATTAGTTTAGAACATTATCCATTTTCTATTAGGCCATTACTCGAGTCTCTATTGTCCCCTTTTCATTTTTTATTACTTGTATAAAGAATTTAGCATTTTCCCGTTTAATACTGGTATTATACACGTATTTTTCAATAATACTTCCCTTTTTTGTACACATCTTAAAGATTCGGTAAAATACACGTTTTTTTAACAAGCAAACATACAATACATATATTGTACACGTACCTACGTATTCTTGAAGTTCAATACAAGTGTATTATACAAAATTTTCAATAATACGCACAAAATTCACGTATTGTACACATAATTTTCAAATATTGTAGAATATAAATATATATTTAAATATTTCAATAAATTATATTAAAAATATTGTATAGTGGCCGAACTTTTCAATTCTAACTTGGCCAAATTTTGTCGAATAAAACACGTACGCCTAATAGTAATGGATAATCCTCTAAACTACTATGATCATGTTGTGCAATGGTGCTTTTCATGCTATTAGTTCTTACTGCGGATTTTTTGTAAATTTTTTTTTAGTAAATAGTACAGCCACACGGAGTATAACCGTGCTGCGGCTATGGCGGCTAAAAAATAAATTAAAAAATTGGCCGCCGAGGTGCTCTGAGCCGGGTCCTTTTTTAATTTAATTTAATTTAATAAATAGTACAGCAACACGGCTATACTAGGGGTCTTTTTTTGTTCATTTTTTAAAAAATAAATAGTATGGCCGCGCGGCTATACGGTTAAATGTAATATCTTTAAAGAGTATTGCCGCTCGGTTTGAGCAGCCCTGGAATTCTTGTCTTTGTTGACCATAAGAACACTATCAATCTATTGGTAGTCTTTAATGAAAATGTCTTGTTCCTGTTAGTTGGAAAGAGTCAATTTCCCCTCTCATTCTCTCTGAGTTTCTAATTTTTTTGTTTGGCTTGGTTCCTGGCATTACATGGTAGTCTTTAACCCACCAATGAATTCTCCAGGTGTGGCTGCATCAAGGATGAAGCCTCCCCTAAAGAAAGAAACATCAATGAAGCTTTTGAGAGCACTTAATTAACTTGTTATATGTAAATATGTAAAACAGCAGCCATGACAAAACAGCGCATTCAGAACATCAACATAGGATGCAAAAGCGATCCCACTAGAAGATTTAAGTTAACCAAAAAAAAACCACACATATTCTCAAGCAACATTTTTCTGATCAACTTCTAATACCAAACAATATATTAACTCTAATTCAAATCACAACATGAGTTGTTGAAATCATGATAGAATACACATATGTAACATCTTAAAAGGAGAAGTTACCCACTTCCAAGGAGCATCTCGAGCAGGAAGATTCGAAGGCTTTAGACTGAGACTAGGCAAAATATTCACGAGATCTCTTTCTTCACTATCTGCATGATTATGTTCAACAAGACAAGTGTTACCACACAAAGGAAGGAAGGCAGGTTCAATAAATGACAAGGCAACAAAATTACCAACCAGTCACAACTGCGCTACAATTTCAATGTTGGGAAGATATATACTCTTAACTTAGGAAGGAATTGGACACCCAAAAAATAACACCTAAATATATTACCAATTTTATTAAACTTAAAAGAAGACTTAAAGTATAACCAATTCTGCAGTTCCAAAATAAATAAAATAATAATTTGTAAGTCATATCCCTTGCCTGGACTGGAAATAGGTAATGAGTGCCTCATTGTTGGAACTGTGCGTGGCTCCTTTACTGTTTTGGACTCCATCTTCTTATAAGAAGTTTCACCAATTAACTAAGACATCCGTTAATTGCTTCTCCCCCAATATGCTCATTTCCAGAAGCTACGGAAGTCTTTGTTTCTCCTATAACTGAGATAAGAAATCATAAGCATTGCACATATAGCATCCATTTACCATAGGAATAAAATGCTATCTTCACACTTTTAATAACACATCCAAAATACTATGAACAAAAAATGCTGAGTAGATACAACAAGTCTGTCTCAACACTTTTACTAACCAAATTCTATTGCATGAACTCTATAATAAGAGCAATTTATAATTTTTCTTCTTATAAGAAACACAAATTTAAGTTACAAACTTTCATTAAAACAAAGAAAGAGAATCATGATGCAGAAGACACTGTTGATAACTATAGTGAAGATTATTTGTACCATTCCTTATACTCAGTTCTGATTATTTGACTTCAGTAGCGGGCAAAGTTGCATCTACTAGACGGTTAGAAAACAGACATATTCATAGTTTCTGTAGGTACATATTAGCCAACTGTTACAACCAGCACAGTGATATGGACACCTCTATGTCTGTTTCTCTAACAGCATATTATAGCCATTATTAGACACAAATTGTTAAGAGATCAGATTAAAATATTTGTCACCTTTTGAATCCTTCAAAATTGGAGATGTTTGTTGCTGAATAATCTTTGCTATCCTTCAAAAACCTGGTTATTGGCAAGACCATAGAAACTCCATGATAGGATAGCTTCATCATTTCCTTCCACTGAAGACAGACACCAAGTCAGCAAATTTTGTGTTGTTTTCTTCTGCGCCATGCCGTCAATGGAAAGAGAGAAGAGAATAAGGCGGAGTTGGCAGAGGGAGGAATTGTCGTAGTTGTCGTTTGGGAGAGCCTATAGAGAAGAGAATAAGGCAGGAAACAGGGAGATGAATGGAAATAGATGAATTAAGAGTCTCATGATCTCTTCTTCTATGCACCTGACTTGTGCTTGCTTCGGCTTCCCAATCTCAATCTCAAGCTCAAATTTGCAGCTAAACTTCTTCAATTTCGGGTTTCAGACTTTCAGTCAATCGCAGTGTTCGGAAAATCGGCCTAGGCGGGCGCCTAGGTGGCTAGGCGGGCGCTAGGCGGCTAGGCGGGAGCTAGGCGGCTGGGCGGGAGCTAGGCGGCTGGGCGGGAGCTAGGCGGCTGGGCGGGCCTCCTAGGCGGGTTGGGTCTTTTTTTGGTGTCGAACCAGGAGGACGAAGCAGTCGAAACTGAAAATCGAAGCGAAATGGCTGTGACTGGGTCTGCAACCTCCGCCCTCTGCGAGTGCAAGCTTCGTGTTCGTTTGGATTATATTCAAAGAGTATAGCCGGGCGGCTATAATCTTAAAATATTCGAATATATTAATATTTAAACAGTATAGCCGAACGGCTATACTGTTAAAATATCCGAATGTATTTATTTGCATTCAATTATGCATCTAAATTTGGTATGACGTGCATTGATATTGTCGATAATGCATCAGTAACGTGTTTACATTGATAATTGATATCGTGTCAAAACGAATTCTACTCCAAGCTACAGTGAAAGGGGATCCCTTACGAGAATTCATCCTATTTATCTGTCCTTGAAACTTTAGTAATTTGTCTCCCCACTATTCAACTTTAGTATTGAAAGCTTACTAATTGTCTTCCCAGCTACTCAACTTTACTATATACTGTAGGGTTTCTACTTTCTAATCAAGTATTGCTAA